GAGGAGAGTGTCCAGACGGGCTGGATTGAGGTCAGAGGGAAGCAGAGCTGTTCCTGGTGTTGGAGAAGTCAGTCATCCCACTGGGGTGGACACTGTGTGTTTAGGGGGCTGTGGGGCTGCCTCCCACAGCAGGTTCCTCCTGCTCCCAGCTTGGCTGTGTCCCTGAGAAATGAGGACATGGCTTCAAGCTGCATAAAAGGAGGTTGGTTATGAGAAGGAATTTCTTTATGGAAAGGGTTTTTAAATATTGGAAGGGGCTGCCCATGTTGGTGGTGGACCATCCCTGGAGATATCCAAGGAAGTATTGGACCTGGCACTGAGTCCTCTGGGAGGGGTTGGTCACAGGTTGGAATTGATCTTGGAGATCTTCTCCAACCTCAAGGATTCTGTGAAGTGTCCAAGGACAGGTTGGATGGGGATTGGAGCAACCCTGGAAGGGAGTTGCCATGGAGGAGGCTCGGAGTACCATGGCAGGGATGTGGGAACCGGATGAGTTTTAAGATCCTTTCCAACCCAACCCATTCCATGATTCTGTGCCTGGCAGGTGATCCTGAAGTCAGAGCCCGTGCACCCCTTTGGCCTGGCTGTGTATGGTGATTACATCTTCTGGACAGACTGGGTGCGCCGCGCCGTGCAGCGCGCCAACAAATACGTGGGCACCGACATGAAACTGCTGCGTGTGGACATCCCCCAGCAGCCCATGGGCATCATCGCCGTGGCCAACGACACCGACAGCTGTGAGCACCCTCTGGTGTCACTGCAGTGTCCCTGCCCTCTGCCCCTCACCCTGGCAGCAGGCCTGGGGAAGGGGAGCCCATCCCACCATCCGTCATGGTCCTTTGGGAATCCATGCCACTGTCCATCATGGTCCTGTGGGAATCCATCCCACCATCCGTCATGGTCCTTTGGGAATCCATCCCACCATCCTTTATGATCCTTTGGGAGTCCATCCCACTGTCCATCATGGTCCTGTGGGAATCCATCCCACCATCCTTCATGGTCCTTTGGGAATCCATCCCACCATCCTTCCTGGCACTTCATGAACCCATCCCACTGTCCATGATGGTCCTTTAGGAATTCATCCCACCATCCTTCCTGGCCTTGTGGGAATCCATCCCACTGTCCATCATAGTCCTGTGGGAATCCATCCCACCATCCTTCCTGGCCTTGTGGGAATCCATCCCACTGTCCATCATAGTCCTGTGGGAATCCATCCCACCATCCTTCCCAGCCTTCTGGGAATCCATCCCACCGTCCTCAGTCGTCCTTTGGGAATCCATCTCTCTGTCCTTCCTGGTCCTTTGGGAATCCATCCCACTGTCCTTCCCAGCCTTGTGGGAATCCATCCCACCATCCTTTCGTGGCTTTTTGGGAAGCCATCTCTCTGTCCATTCTAGCCCTTTGGGAGCCCATCTTCCCGTCCTTCTTAGCCCTTTGGGAATCATCCCATTGTCCTTGCCAGCTTGTCGTTGCCCCCTCGTGACCCTCATGCCACAGTTGTCCGTCCCCAAACCCAGTGCAGGCTGAAGACAGAGAGGGTTTGCCCTGTCCCTGCTCTTCCCAGGGCATCTCCTTGTAAAACCTGGGGAGACCAGGTGCCTCAGCTCCTTACACCCTCCATAGCCCCATTAGAAGAGCCTGGGGAGGGATTCCCTACTTTTTGGCTCAGCAGGGAGGATGAGGAGCAGGGGCTGGTGGGTCCATCCCTGGTGTGACTGCTGTCCCTCTGTCCTAGGCGAGCTGTCCCTGTGCCGGGTGAACAATGGGGGCTGCCAGGACCTGTGCCTGCTCACCCCCAAGGGCCACGTCAACTGCTCCTGCCGTGGGGAGCGGGTCCTGCAGGAGGATTTCACCTGCAAAGGTGAGACGGGGTTGGGAGGGGCTGAGGAAAGGAAGGGTCGAGGCTGATCTCAACCTGGCAGAGCTGACATTACCGTGCTCTGCCCAGCTCTGAATTCCACCTGCAACGTGGATGAGTTTGAGTGCGGGAACGGCGACTGCATCGACTTCAGCCGCACCTGCGACGGCGTCGTGCACTGCAAGGACAAGTCGGATGAGAAGCAGTCCTACTGCAGTAAGGTTCCTCCTCTTGCTGCCTTGCTCACCCACACACGCACCTCAGCACCCCCAGACACCCTGCCCCAACTGTCAGCTCCACTCAGAGAATCACGGAATGGTTTTGGGTTGGAAGGGACCAAAATCAGGGCTTCCCCTGGGTTTCCCCTTCAAGGCAAACACACGAGGCAGGTCCTCCACACAGCCTTGCAAGGTCTGTCCCTCATTAATTAGTCTTAGAACCTCTTCAAATTTGTCATTAAAACTTAAAGAGAATGGAGGCAAAAACTTAAGAGGATGGAAGATGACAAAGGCCGGATTCACAGTGCTTCAGTAAATCAATCCTTTTTCCTATGTTCAAGATCATGGAATCATGGAACGGTTTGGGTTGGGAGAGACCTTTTAAAGTTCATTTCATTTCACCCCCTGCTGTGGGCAGGGACACCTTCTGCTAGCCCAGGTTGCTCCAAGCCACATCCAGCCTGGCCTTGGACACTGCCAGGGTTGCCCAGCAAAGGGAACCAGGACTCTATAGTGTCCTTTCATCCCTCAGGTGCTTACAGTCCCTCCTGCCCTCCCAGAGCTGCACCCAGCCGGGCTTTAAGGTCTCCAGACCTTTCCCAGTGTAGGGGACAGGCTGGAAAACAGGACACCTGGAGCTGAGCCAGTGGGGTCTGCAGCACCCCCAAACACCAGCCCTCACCCCTCTTCATTAGGGAGCAGCTTCCCTGATCCTGCTCTATGGTTTCTTCCCTGCTGAAAGATCCCCAAGTGTCTGAGACCCTCGGGGGTGATTGCCCTCCTTCCACTCACCTTCTCTTCCTCTTCCTCCTCTTCCTCTCTGGCAGGCAGCCGCAAGTGCAAGAAGGGATACCTGCACTGCATGAACGGGCGCTGCGTCGCCAGTCGCTACTGGTGTGACGGCGTGGACAACTGCGGGGACAACTCGGACGAGGTGCCCTGTAACAGTGAGTGTCTGCCTGGCACCCGGCCAGCCCCTGTCAGCTGCCTGGGACAGGGACAGCGGCTTCAGGAGGGAGTTACCATCAGCTTGACAGGAGCAGAGCAGAGCCAGGGCTTAACGGAGAGTCAAGGTCAAGTTTGTGCTGCTTTGTAAAGCTCGCAGAGTGACAGCTGAGAGGAAAAACTCCTGGACATGGGCAGGCAGCACCCAGAGCTTCCCAGAAAGAGTGGTTTGACAGCCAGGAGGGGCACGGGGTGTAGTGTCACTGCTCCTCATGGCTCCCAGGAATTACCAAAGGCAGCACCCCATTAGGGATGCAGGATGGGTCTCCTGGGCTTCAAACTGACAGGGACAGTCAGGAGCTTCTCAGAGTCCTGTCCAGGTGTGGTTGTGCCAGGGAGAGGAGCTCAGGCTGCCAGGCAGAGTGTGAGTCAGGAGGCACCGGGTCTCATCCAGGAGGGAATTGGGTCTGGGAGTGCTCTGGGCAACCCAGAGCTGCCTGGGCAGTGGAGGGGTGTGGGTGCCCTTCCAGTGGGTACCATGGGTGGGTGTGGGCCCTGCCTCATCAGCTGTGGGGGTTTCTTCCCCCCTGGCAGAAACCAGCTGTGCTGCCACCGAGTTCCGCTGCCGGGATGGGACCTGCATCGGGAATTCCAGCCGCTGCAACCAGTTCATCGACTGCGAGGATGCATCAGATGAAATGAACTGCAGTGAGTGCCCAGCTGCTGCCCCTGGCCCCTTCTCAGCTCTGGAGATGATCCTGCCTTTGGTGCTGGAGGCAGGGACCTGGGTCTTCGGGATTTGGGCTGGATCGGGGAGAGAGAGTCCTGCTCCTGTCCTGCAGTCCTGGGATGAGGCAGCCCCAACCCACCCCTGTGCCGTGCTCAGCACCCCACCACCCAATGGTTCCCTGCAGCTCTGGGCATGTGTGGGGCACATCTGGGGGTGTGTGGGGTGTGGTGGGCTCCAGCAGCAGGGCAGCACCCGGTGCCACGTGGTGGAGCCAGACCAGGGGGCTTCTGCCGTGGTTCCTGCTGTGTCACCGGGGCTCCTGCTGTGATTCCTCCCAGCCGCCACCGACTGCAGCAGCTACTTCAGGCTGGGGGTGAAGGGCACCACGTTCCAGAAGTGCGAGCACACGTCCCTGTGCTACGCTCCCAGCTGGGTGTGCGACGGCGCCAACGACTGCGGCGATTACTCGGACGAGCGCAACTGCCCCGGTGAGAGCGGGAGGGCAGAGGGGGCTCTGGGGGCAGGGATGCCCCTTTGGGGTCTGCTTGGGCTGTGGATGCTTTGTTTGCCCACTGGGACCGTTGTCCTCTGTCTGTGTGGCTCCGGCACAGATGGTGCTGCAGGGGTCTGGGATGTGGGACCTGAGGGGGGTTTTGGGGAGGAATCCTTCAGTTCTGGGCTGGGAGGAGGCAGGACATGGCCGTGCCGTTGTCCTCACTGATGTTTCCATCACAAAGTAGGTGGGAGGAAGCCCAAATGTCCATCCAACTACTTTGCCTGCCCGAGTGGGAGGTGCATCCCCATGACCTGGACCTGTGACAAGGAGAACGACTGCGAGAACGGCGAAGATGAGACCCAGTGCAGTGAGCGGCAGGGTGGGGACACTCATGATTTGGGCTAGGGCACGGGGTGGTGCTGGAGCGTGGGCAGGACCCTCTTCTCCCCCTGATATCCATTTGCCAAGGACAGATCCCAGATTCTTCCCCCTCTGTGGTTTTAGTCCACACTCTTGGGCTTTTAGCTGTGACCAGTATAAATGTTCTCGTGTGCTGGTTTGCTCAGCACATGCACAAGTGTCTGTGGCCCTTTTGAATGGGACCAGTTATGACTCCCTTCAGCTCCATTTTTAGTTCTAACCTCCTGGAACAAGCCCCAGACAATGCTCAGGAGCTGCTGATCTTCCCCAGGTCCAGGAGCAAAGAGTCCCACACCAGCCCTGTAGGACCACGAGCAGTACCCCCAGCACTCCCCTGGGCTCCTGGAGCCCAGCCTGGTCGTGCTTGCTGGTATCTCCTCCTCTTACCACCCTGTTCTGACCCCCATCTCCTCCTCTTCTCCTCTCCCAGACAAGTTCTGCTACCCCGTGCAGTTTGAGTGCAACAACCACCGCTGCATCTCCAAGCTCTGGGTGTGTGATGGGGCTGATGACTGCGGGGATGGCTCTGACGAGGACAGTCGCTGCCGTGAGTCTGCTCCATCCCTTCTCCCCATCTCAGTCCCTGCCTGCTCCATCACCACGTTCCTGCATCTGTGTTCCAGCCCATCCCTTCTCCCACCTGTGGTCTCACTGCTCTCCTGGGCTCTCCTGGGCTCTCCTGGGCTCCTGGGTTCTGTCCTTTTCCCACTCGTAGTCTCACCACTCTCCTGGGCTCTACATCTCGGGGCTCCCCAGAGCTCCAGCCGTGGGGTGACCAGACTCCACCCTGCTCCTCCCTCTCCCAGGGCTGACCACCTGCAGCTCAGGATCCTTCCAGTGCCCGGGCACCTACGTGTGCGTGCCGGAGCGCTGGCTCTGTGACGGGGACAAGGACTGCGCGGACGGGGCCGATGAGACCCTCGCTGCCGGCTGCTGTGAGTGCCTGGGGGCAGGGGGCTGGGGAGACAGCGGCTGGCAGGGGCTGATGGAGGTGGTGCCTCATTCCAGTGTACAACAACACCTGTGATGAGAGGGAGTTCATGTGTGGGAACCGGCAGTGCATCCCCAAGCACTTCGTCTGCGACCATGACGACGACTGCGGCGACGGCTCCGACGAATCCCCAGAATGTGGTGGGTGTCTGTGGGACCCAGGGGGACTGATCTGACAGCTCTGCTGGGTCCTCCTGGGCTTTGGGACAGTACCCTGGGAGGGTCTTTCTCACCCTGGAGGGGTTTGGTGTGAGTGTGGTGAGAAGCAACCCGGAGAGGCAGCAGAAAGGGATTGTTGGTGGAGAGCAGCCCCCCAGCCCTGACACAAGGATCCAAACCCAGAGGGAGATCCAAACCCACGGACAGATCCAAACCCAGGGAGAGATCCAAACCCACAGACAGATCCGTGTGTGTGCAGAGCAGCCCTGTCCCAGGCCAGCTGCTCTGTGGTGTCCCTGTCGCTCCTGGCAGCTCGGGAAGGTTTGTCTCCGTGGTGCCTCTCTCTCTCTGAGTGGCTCCACGGTGCCTCTGGAAGGCTCAGGAAGGTTGGATGGCAGCTGAGCCCCTCACCCTCCCTCAGAATATCCCACCTGTGGCCCCCACGAGTTCCGCTGTCAGAACGGCCGCTGCCTCAGCAACCGGCAGTGGGAGTGTGATGGGGAGTTCGACTGCCACGACCACTCGGACGAGGCGCCCAAGAACCCGCGCTGCAGCAGCCCAGGTACCTGCTGGGGTCATGGTGGGAGGGAACAGCAGAGCCCCAGTCACCCCCCACTGACCACTGCCACCTCCTCTCTGCAGAAAACAAGTGCAACGACTCCTTCTTCCTCTGCAAGAACGGGAATTGCATCTCCGAGGCGCTGCTCTGCGACAACAACAACGACTGCGCCGACGGCTCTGATGAGCTCAACTGCTTCATCAACGAGTGCCTCAACAAGAAGCTGAGTGGCTGCTCCCAGGAGTGTGAGGACCTGAAGATTGGGTACAAGGTAGGGGGCCACAGGGTGGGGGGCTGTCTGCGGAGATCATAGAATTACAGATTGCCCTGAGTTGGAAGGGACCTACAGTGATTGTTGCTGAAGTCCAACTCCCTGCACAGGAGATCTCAGCAATCCCACCCTGTGCCTAAGAGCGTTGTCCAAGTGCTCCTGGAATTCTGGCAGCCTTGAGGCTGTGCCAGCAAACAGTGCCTGACCACCCTCTGGGGGAAGAACCTTTTCCTGATATCCAGCCTAAACCTCCCCTGGCACAGCTCCTGCTGTTCCCTCTCCTTCCTCCTCCACAGACGTGAGGGTTGTGTCTGTCCTGTGCCAGCTGGGCCAGGGATGTGACACGGGTGCTTCAGGCACTGTTTGTGCCTCTCAGCTGTCCTTGCTGAGTCCACGTGTCCCAGGGTGACACTTGTCACCTCCCAGCACCTGCCACCTCCCGGCGTGCGGGCCTTGGAGGGTCTGACAGCTCCGGGTTGCTCCTGCAGTGCAGATGCCGTCCCGGGTTCCGGCTGAAGGACGACGGGAAGACGTGCATCGACATCGACGAGTGCTCCACCACCTACCCCTGCAGCCAGAAATGCATCAACACCCTGGGCAGCTACAAGTGCCTCTGCACTGAGGGCTACAAGCTCAGACCTGACAACCCCACCAGCTGCAAGGCTGTCACAGGTGAGAACCAGGTGTGGACGCAGAGCACAGGGTGTTGTGGTGACCATGGGATGCTGCTGGAGCTGGAGCTGGAGGGTGAAGTGGCTGCCCTCAACTCATGAGGGAGAGGAGCTGGGAGGGTGGCAAATCTGCAGGGTTCTGCCCATGTCCCAGCAGTGCTCCCCTGCCACTTTTCCCTCTTTCCCTGTGCAGATGAAGAGCCTTTCCTCATCTTCGCCAACCGCTACTATCTGAGGAAGCTCAACCTGGACGGCTCCAACTACACACTGCTCAAGCAGGTGCGGGGTGAGCTGGGAGCAGGAGGGACAGCAGCCCCACGTGGCTGGAATTTGGGGATGGAGTGGGCCCTGAAGGACATGGGAGCTGCCAGCTGAGGATTTTGGGCTCTTGGCTTCCCAGGGGAATGGTAGATCCATCTAAATGTCGGGAGGTCACTGTGAGCGAGGAGCAGGCAGGGAGGCTGTCGGCTTTGTAAAACTCCCCAGAGCCCATGCCAGCCACTGAGGCTGCTGCAACCCTTCTCCCTCCCTCTCTCCTCTCCAGGGGCTGAACAACGCTGTGGCTCTGGATTTTGACTACCGGGAGCAGATGATCTACTGGACAGATGTCACCACGCAGGGCAGCATGATCCGCCGCATGCACATCAACGGCAGCAACGTCCAGGTGAGGATGGGGGGCAGCCCCTGGGCACCCCTGGGCTGTGCAGCTGGGCCTCACCCACCTCCTGCCCCACTGTGGAGTCATCACTGGGCTCTAGGAATCAGCCCCAGTTGCTGTGGGATGTTTTACAGCCTCCACACTGATATGAAATGCGAGACAGGGAAGGTTGGGGGAAGAGTCGTGGAATCTTGGAATTATTTGGGTTAGAAGAGATCTTAAAGTTCACTCAGTTTCGCTCCCCTGATACGGAGTGAACCTTCTGCTATCCCAGTTTGCTCCAAGCCCCATCCAACCTGGCCTTGGACACTTTCAGGGATCCAGGGGCAGCCACAGCTTCTCTGGGAATCTGTGCCAGGGCCTGCCCACCTTCACAGGAATGAATTTTCCCCCATTATCCCATCTAAACCTAAGAGGGGAGTGAGGAAGGAGATCTGGGCTGGGAAGGGAGATGCTGTCACCCCTGAGACATCAGGATTTGGTTCTCTCTGCTCAGCCCTGTCACCTCTGATTCCTCCCTGCAGGTCCTTCACCGCACGGGGCTCAGCAACCCCGACGGGCTGGCTGTGGACTGGGTGGGAGGAAACCTGTACTGGTGTGACAAGGGCCGGGACACCATCGAGGTGTCGAAGCTGAACGGCGCGTACCGCACCGTGCTGGTCAACTCGGGCCTGCGCGAGCCCCGCGCCCTCGTGGTGGACGTGCAGAACGGGTGAGAGCCTGGGGGACACGGACCTGCTGCTCTGTGCTGGAGAGGGGCCTGGGGGACAC